GCACGTAACGTATAGGTGCATACTTTATAAAATATCATTGACTCCAACGACAAAATATAAGGAACATATCTTACACACAAAATGTAACATGAAAGAAGTGAAAAGATATAAAAAAAATGTATTTTTTATAAAGCAGACACGACCGTTAATGTGATTTGTGTTTTCTTACCTATATAAAAATGGCAAGATATATCTTCAAATTTCTTTTGCACTATCCCACTGCCTTGAAGTCAGCTTTATATAACAAAACTGTTTTATCCAGTAATTAAGTTAGAAACAATTCCGGCACAATATATGAATATGTGAAAATCAAAGGCTTCTATGTAATCGACAATTCAGAACAAAATCTTTGTCACAGCTGTGGATCACGCGAAATATAAAACAGAATTGTGGATACAAGGAAACAATGTTCGGTTTACAAAATAAAGAACTAGTCTTCTCGCCCAATCGCAGTCGAACTAAAGGCCTGTTTTCACTTTGATTAGTGATTAGTGCAGGTGATTAGTGCAGGTGCTTAGTGTTTAGGAGGTAAACACGTGTGGACAGCGATTGATTAGTGCAAGTGATTAATAACCTGTGTAGTATAGTGATTAGAAGCGTGTTCTATTTTTTTGCGAGTGGACTGCGAGTGTCACGCCCCGCGCGCCCTTCATTTCCCCTGACTCGCAGCATGCCTGCCACTAAACACGTTTGGACAGCAGTGCTAAGTGTTTAGCGTTTAGCGTCGGACGCTCACTTCTGTTTAAAAAATGTCCATACTTCCTGGTCGACTGCTAACAACTGAATTTACTAAACTCAACCACTAAACAGAATTGGACACTACTTACACTACACACCTGCACTAATCAACCGCAATTACTAATCACCTGCACTCGCACTAATCAAAGTGAAAACAGGCCTTTATTCACTTTGATTAGTGATTAGTGCAGGTGATTAGTGATTAGGAGTAAACACGTGTGGACAGCGATTGATTAGTGTAAGTGATTGGTAACCTGTATAGTAAAGTGATTAGAAGCGTGTTTTATTTTTTTGCGAGTGGACTGTGTGTATCCACGTCCCGCGCGCCCTCGCTCCTCCCTCACACGCAGCATGCCTGCCATTAAACATGTCTGGACTCTAGACAGCAGTTTTAAATGTTTGGCGTTTAGCATCGGACGCTAGCTTTTGTTGCAAAAAAAGGCAAAGTGGACCGAAGACATAACCTCTAAATTTGTACAGGAGTACTAAAACATGCATGTCTTTACAATTGTAAACAACCTAACTGCAACATTAAAGGAGCCTGAGATGCGGAATTTTTACTTATAACTGAAGCTATGAACATATCGGGGTATGAAAGTAAAGAAGTTTGTATTAAAATAAGAAACTTAAGATTTGCATTTTCGCGTCCATACCTGCTGGTCGACGGCTAACAACTGAATTTACTAAATAAAGCCACTAAACAGAATTGGACACTACTTACACTAAACACCTGCACTAATTACCTGCACTCGCACTAATCAAAGTGAAAACACGCCTTAAAGTAGTTACGAAGAATTTGCACAATGTATTAAGGACGCAGAGCCCGCCTAGTAGCATACATAGAAGTCTTTGGTTAAAATACTATTTCAAATTCTTTGTATCATTTGTGAATTATGAAAAGCTTTAGAAAACACAAACGAACCAGAAAAAACAAAACCGAAACTGAAATAGTTTTATTTCTTAAATTTTTAAAAACAGAATTTGCTATAACAATTTATCACAACAATAGCAACAAAAAGAAACAAGTTTGGTTTGATCACATTCGCACATATATAGACAGTTCCCGCGCAGTGTGGCAACTTGACACTTCTTGTTCTCGATTTGAAAAACCGCTGTTGTCCGTCCCTCACGGTTGAAGGCGATTAGGTGAGACGGCACTAGGGCGAAGGCGGCAAGCTGTCGTCGCTCTCGAGGTACGTGACGTAGTTGTCCTCGCCCGGCGCCGGCCGCGGCGGTGGCAGCGAGGGTACATCGTACCCGTGCATCTGAAAACAAATATTTTGATGTATTAAAGTGGCAAGCGAACCGACAATACATCTGATGGTGAGTGGCTACTGCAGCCGATGGACACCTGTAGCCAACTTTTTTTTTTTTAGGATAAGGGTGACAAACGAGCATATAGTCCACCTGATGGTAAGTGGTTGCTGCGGCCCATAGACATCTACAACTATCCTCGTTTGCGAATCAAAATGCAGATGCGTTGTCACCCGTGAGGACTAAGATGGAATGCCTCATTTCCAGTAAAAAGGGCCTCCGGCCACCTGCACTCACCAAGCGAAACGCAGAGGTAAACCTCTACTTCACGCTGGTATTCTGTGAGGTCGTGGTACCACCCCGGTTTGAGCCGGCCCATCCGTGCGACAGCAAAATCTGCCGCGTGGCTCTACCTTCTACTTCAAACAAAGAAGTTCACAGGTGTGTTGTCACCGCTGAGAACTCAGATAAATGTCTTACATCCGTATTCACAAACATTATTATGAGGTCTTACAGTGCGCTTAATCACAATGGGTACAGGAAACTTATCATAAAATACACTTTATGGACGTACGACACTGTGTATACATCATAATGAATGCACTGCTAAAATACCTCATCCGTACTTTGCGCTAGGCCTAATACGATAAATTGACACAAATTGCAAACTAGTATTTTTTATATAGTAGACTGAATGCTCGTTTAACCCTTACCCTTATTGGATGGTAAACGAGCATACAGTCCACCCGATATTAAGTGGATACTGTGGACCATAGATATCTACATTTATCCTCGATTAAGAATCAAAATGCAGATGCGTTGTCATCCCTGAGGTCAGAGATGGAATGTCTCATTTCCAGTAAAAAGGTGTACTGTTGGTGGTCTCAGGATTTGAATTTAATTCTTGTTATATATTCTTCTAATTTAGTTTGGAAAAATCCAATTACACAATGACAACATAGGTTTTGATCATTTAATGTCTGTTTAACCGTCAGTTAACTCAATTGAATTCGCATCAGAAGAAAGAGTCCTTTGAGTATTGTTCATGAAATGGATGGCTTTATATTCAATGGCAATATTCGTATACTTAAGTAAGTAATGTTTGTGAATACAGGCTTAGTTTGTCTAATCAATTTATTATCAACAAATAAAGTTTATTCTCCTCACTATGCTGGCTCTCTTATTACTCGTATTTAATTAGAACTGCAGTGGGAGTTGGAGGGTGGGTAGTGTGCTGACAGAAATAGATAAGAGAGTGGTAACAACTAGACGGACTACAAGGCTGCAATAAGAGCTTAACTGATAGACTTCTAAAATTTCAAGTCACCAGCGTAAAAAAGTATTGAAAAACTTTTCTTTATGTCGTTTATACATTCAGTAAATATTGTGGGACCGAGCATCGATCCTTGCGGAACACCCAAGGTAATTAATGTGTAATTAGGATGAAATCTTTTAATGACAATTCATTTGAAACAGAGGGCAATATAGTAACAGAATTACTTACATAAATTTTTTTTATTCCGTTTTTAGACTTTTTATAAAGTAGAATTTTATGATCTACCTTTATGAATACTTTTAAAAAGTCTGTGCAAATTGTATCTACTCCGTAAATAATGATACAATAATATTGAACACATATTTTGGTTAATTGTTATTATGGATAGTTTATTTATTTGGGGACTGAGGTGTTCGATGTTCCCATGACCATGGGTGCTGTAAAGTACTTGAAACGTTGGGTTGTGAATGTTAAAATCAAAGACTTTTATGTATACTACTAGATCGGCAATTCAAAACAAAAGCTGTGTTACTGTGGTAATTTTTTTTTAGGATAAGTGTGACAAACGAGTACGCAGTCCACCTGGTGGTAAGTGGTTGCTGTGGCTCATAGACATCTACATCTATCCCCGATTACGAATCTTATTTTACACTGATAAGCTGATATTTTACACTGGTAATCTGTGAAAGCGTGGTCTTTCCCCGGTGGAGCCGACCTGTTTGTGCTACAACTATACCAATAATATAGCTGCAGCATGGCTCTACCACGTATAAAATAAAAATCGTGCGGGCGCCGCTTGGAAGATAAATATTGTCACGGAGTTGTATTTTTATTTACGGCAGTTACTTTTGTGTTATTTGCGGACCGGAATGTTGAATATTTTAAATAATTTAGTATTATGTTCTTGTGTTGTTTGAAAATAAAATTTGAATACGTCTAACATTTTCATTTATACTTATACATTTTTGGTCCTTCGAGCCGGATTAATTACATTTATATGATTAATAATAATAAGATATAAGTATTATTTTATGTGTAATGTGATTAATTTTCACTACTTAAAGGTCTGCAGTGTTATTTGGGGATCGGAATGTTGAGTATTATAAATTCTTTTGTATTATGTTCTTGTGTTCTTTGAAAATAAAATTTGAATACGTCAAATATTTTCATTTGTAGTTATACATTCTTGGTCCTTCGAGCAGGATTAATTACATTTATGTGATTAATAAGAATACGGTAAAAGTATCATTTTATGTTTATTATGATTAATTTTCACTACTTAAAGGACTTCATTGTCCTTTGAAGGCCGGAATGTTGAATATTATAAACTCTTTTGTATTGTGTTCTTTTGTTGTTCGAAAATAAAATTATTATTGCGTCAAATATGTTCATTTCTTCTTCGCATTGTACACTTTTTTTGATTCATTGTATACACTTCGTATTGTATTAATTTGTTTTATATACTTGAGTATTGAATACTTTACAGCACTTATGTCCACGAAGGGATTGTAATGTAATATAAATATTAGTTAGTCTACTGATCGACAGATGGAACTTTTTGATTTATGTCCGTGCTATTAAATGTATCCTGCTGCTTTAATTAATTAGTAAACGAGTTGTGTTTACGTTCTAGCATTGTGATAGAAGGTGTCTTTAAAAAACGTGATAAAATCCTTAAAAATTTGTTTGATTGAAAGTTAAAGTGCAGAAAATGTGGTGATGGTGCACTGACCTGGCTGACGAGGTGCTGGAAGGCGGCGCTGTGGTGCGGCGCGCGGTCCAGGTCGGCGTGCAGCGCGAAGTCGGAGAGCGCCTTCCAGGGCGGCTGGTACGCGCTCACCTCCAGCGGCAGCGCGCCCGCCTCGTGCCGCACCGGCGCGCCCGCCACCAGCGGCACGCCCAGCGACATGTAGCCCAGCCGCCGCCCCTCCTGCACACGCACCGCTACTGACAACCCTACACACTGCGCCCGCTTGGCGACATGTAGCCCAGCCGCCGCCCCTCCTGCACACGCGCGCTACTGACAACCCTACACACTGCGCCCGCTTGGCGACATGTAGCCCAGCCGCCGCCCCTCCTGCACACGCGCGCTACTGACAACCCTACACACTGCGCCCGCTTGGCGACATGTAGCCCAGCCGCCGCCCCTCCTGCACACGCACCGCTACTGACAACCCTACACACTGCGCCCGCCCGGCGACATGTAGCCCAGCCGCCGCCCCTCCTGCACACGCACCGCTACTGACAACCCTACACACTGCGCCCGCCCGGCGACACGTAGCCCAGCCGCCGCCCCTCCTGCACACGCACCGCTACTGACAACCCTACACACTGCGCCCGCCCGGCGACATGTAGCCCAGCCGCCGCCCCTCCTGCACACGCGCGCTACTGACAACCCTACACACTGCGCCCGCCCGGCGACATGTAGCCCAGCCGCCGCCCCTCCTGCACACGCACCGCTACTGACAACCCTACACACTGCGCCCGCCCGGCGACACGTAGCCCAGCCGCCGCCCCTCCTGCACACGCACCGCTACTGACAACCCTACACACTGCGCCCGCCCGGTGACATGTAGCCCAGCCGCCGCCCCTCCTGCACACGCACCGCTACTGACAACCCTACACACTGCGCCCGCCCGGCGACACGTAGCCCAGCCGCCGCCCCTCCTGCACACGCACCGCTACTGACAACCCTACACACTGCGCCCGCCCGGCGACATGTAGCCCAGCCGCCGCCCCTCCTGCACACGCACCGCTACTGACAACCCTACACACTGCGCCCGCCCGGCGACATGTAGCCCAGCCGCCGCCCCTCCTGCACACGCACCGCTACTGACAACCCTACACACTGCGCCCGCCCGGCGACATGTAGCCCAGCCGCCGCCCCTCCTGCACACGCACCGCTACTGTCAACCCTACACACACTGCGCCCACCCGGCGACATGTAGCCCAGCCGCCGCCCCTCCTGCACACGCACCGCTACTAACAATCCTACACACACTGCGCCCGCCCGGCGACATGTAGCCCAGCCGCAGCCCCTCCTGCACACGCACCGCTACTGACAACCCTACACACACTGCGCCCGCCCGGCGACATGTAGCCCAGCCGCCGCCCCTCCTGCACACGCACCGCTACTGACAACCCTACACACACTGCGCCCGCCCGGCGACATGTAGCCCAGCCGCCGCCCCTCCTGCACACGCACCGCTACTGACAACCCTACACACTGCGCCCGCCCGGCGACATGTAGCCCAGCCGCCGCCCCTCCTGCACACACACCGCTACTGACAACCCTACACACTGCGACCGCCCGGCGACATGTAGCCCAGCCGCCGCCCCTCCTGCACACGCACGCTACTGACAACCCTACACACTGCGCCCGCCCGGCGACATGTAGCCCAGCCGCCGCCCCTCCTGCACACGCACCGCTACTGACAACCCTACACACTGCGCCCGCCCGGCGACATGTAGCCCAGCCGCCGCCCCTCCTGCACACGCACCGCTACTAACAACCCTACACACACTGCGCCCGCCCGGCGACATGTAGCCCAGCCGCCGCCCCTCCTGCACACGCACCGCTACTGACAACCCTACACACACTGCAACCGCCCGGCGACATGTAGCCCAGCCGCCGCCCCTCCTGCACACGCGCGCTACTGACAACCCTACACACTGCGCCCGCTTGGCGACATGTAGCCCAGCCGCCGCCCCTCCTGCACACGCACCGCTACTGACAACCCTACACACTGCGCCCGCCCGGCGACATGTAGCCCAGCCGCCGCCCCTCCTGCACACGCACCGCTACTGACAACCCTACACACTGCGCCCGCCCGGCGACATGTAGCCCAGCCGCCGCCCCTCCTGCACACGCACCGCTACTGACAACCCTACACACTGCACCCGCCCGGCGACATGTAGCCCAGCCGCCGCTCCTCCTGCACACGCACCGCTACTGACAACCCTACACACTGCGCCCGCCCGGCGACATGTAGCCCAGCCGCCGCCCCTCCTGCACACGCACCGCTACTGTCAACCCTACACACACTGCGCCCACCCGGCGACATGTAGCCCAGCCGCCGCCCCTCCTGCACACGCACCGCTACTAACAATCCTACACACACTGCGCCCGCCCGGCGACATGTAGCCCAGCCGCCGCCCCTCCTGCACACGCACCGCTACTGACAACCCTACACACACTGCGCCCGCCCGGCGACATGTAGCCCAGCCGCCGCCCCTCCTGCACACGCACCGCTACTGACAACCCTACACACACTGCGCCCGCCCGGCGACATGTAGCCCAGCCGCCGCCCCTCCTGCACACGCACCGCTACTGACAACCCTACACACTGCGCCCGCCCGGCGACATGTAGCCCAGCCGCCGCCCCTCCTGCACACGCACCGCTACTGACAACTCTACACACACTGCGCCCGCCCGGCGACATGTAGCCCAGCCGCCGCCCCTCCTGCACACGCACCGCTACTGACAACCCTACACACTGCGCCCGCCCGGCGACATGTAGCCCAGCCGCCGCCCCTCCTGCACACGAACCGCTACTGACAACCCTACACACTGCGCCCGCCCGGCGACATGTAGCCCAGCCGCCGCCCCTCCTGCACACGCACGCTACTGACAACCCTACACACTGCGCCCGCCCGGCGACATGTAGCCCAGCCGCCGCCCCTCCTGCACACGCACCGCTACTGACAACCCTACACACTGCGCCCGCCCGGCGACATGTAGCCCAGCCGCCGCCCCTCCTGCACACGCACCGCTACTGTCAACCCTACACACACTGCGCCCACCCGGCGACATGTAGCCCAGCCGCCGCCCCTCCTGCACACGCACCGCTACTAACAATCCTACACACACTGCGCCCGCCCGGCGACATGTAGCCCAGCCGCCGCCCCTCCTGCACACGCACCGCTACTGACAACCCTACACACTGCGCCCGCCCGGCGACATGTAGCCCAGCCGCCGCCCCTCCTGCACACGCACCGCTACTGTCAACCCTACACACACTGCGCCCACCCGGCGACATGTAGCCCAGCCGCCGCCCCTCCTGCACACGCACCGCTACTAACAATCCTACACACACTGCGCCCGCCCGGCGACATGTAGCCCAGCCGCCGCCCCTCCTGCACACGCACCGCTACTGACAACCCTACACACACTGCGCCCGCCCGGCGACATGTAGCCCAGCCGCCGCCCCTCCTGCACACGCACCGCTACTGACAACCCTACACACACTGCGCCCGCCCGGCGACATGTAGCCCAGCCGCCGCCCCTCCTGCACACGCACCGCTACTGACAACCCTACACACTGCGCCCGCCCGGCGACATGTAGCCCAGCCGCCGCCCCTCCTGCACACGCACCGCTACTGACAACCCTACACACTGCGCCCGCCCGGCGACATGTAGCCCAGCCGCCGCCCCTCCTGCACACGCACCGCTACTAACAACCCTACACACACTGCGCCCGCCCGGCGACATGTAGCCCAGCCGCCGCCCCTCCTGCACACGCACCGCTACTGACAACCCTACACACACTGCGCCCGCCCGGCGACATGTAGCCCAGCCGCCGCCCCTCCTGCACACGCACCGCTACTGACAACCCTACACACACTGCGCCCGCCCGGCGACATGTAGCCCAGCCGCCGCCCCTCCTGCACACGCACCGCTACTGACAACCCTACACACACTGCGCCCGCCCGGCGACATGTAGCCCAGCCGCCGCCCCTCCTGCACACGCACCGCTACTGACAACCCTACACACACTGCGCCCGCCCGGCGACATGTAGCCCAGCCGCCGCCCCTCCTGCACACGCACGCTACTGACAACCCTACACACTGCGCCCGCCCGGCGACATGTAGCCCAGCCGCCGCCCCTCCTGCACACGCACCGCTACTGACAACCCTACACACTGCGCCCGCCCGGCGACATGTAGCCCAGCCGCCGCCCCTCCTGCACACGCACCGCTACTAACAACCCTACACACACTGCGCCCGCCCGGCGACATGTAGCCCAGCCGCCGCCCCTCCTGCACACGCACCGCTACTGACAACCCTACACACACTGCGCCCGCCCGGCGACATGTAGCCCAGCCGCCGCCCCTCCTGCACACGCGCGCTACTGACAACCCTACACACTGCGCCCGCTTGGCGACATGTAGCCCAGCCGCCGCCCCTCCTGCACACGCACCGCTACTGAGAACCCTACACACTGCGCCCGCCCGGCGACATGTAGCCCAGCCGCCGCCCCTCCTGCACACGCACCGCTACTGACAACCCTACACACTGCGCCCGCCCGGCGACATGTAGCCCAGCCGCCGCCCCTCCTGCACACGCACCGCTACTGACAACCCTACACACTGCGCCCGCCCGGCGACATGTAGCCCAGCCGCCGCCCCTCCTGCACACGCACCGCTACTGTCAACCCTACACACACTGCGCCCACCCGGCGACATGTAGCCCAGCCGCCGACCCTCCTGCACACGCACCGCTACTGTCAACCCTACACACTGCGCCCGCTTGGCGACATGTAGCCCAGCCGCCGCCCCTCCTGCACACGCACCGCTACTGAGAACCCTACACACTGCGCCCGCCCGGCGACATGTAGCCCAGCCGCCGCCCCTCCTGCACACGCACCGCTACTGACAACCCTACACACTGCGCCCGCCCGGCGACATGTAGCCCAGCCGCCGCCCCTCCTGCACACGCACGCTACTGACAACCCTACACACTGCGCCCGCCCGGCGACATGTAGCCCAGCCGCCGCCCCTCCTGCACACGCACCGCTACTAACAACCCTACACACACTGCGCCCGCCCGGCGACATGTAGCCCAGCCGCCGCCCCTCCTGCACACGCACCGCTACTGACAACCCTACACACACTGCGCCCGCCCGGCGACATGTAGCCCAGCCGCCGCCCCTCCTGCACACGCGCGCTACTGACAACCCTACACACTGCGCCCGCTTGGCGACATGTAGCCCAGCCGCCGCCCCTCCTGCACACGCACCGCTACTGACAACCCTACACACTGCGCCCGCCCGGCGACATGTAGCCCAGCCGCCGCCCCTCCTGCACACGCACCGCTACTGACAACCCTACACACTGCGCCCGCCCGGCGACACGTAGCCCAGCCGCCGCCCCTCCTGCACACGCACCGCTACTGACAACCCTACACACTGCGCCCGAACGGCGACATGTAGCCCAACCGCCGCCCCTCCTGCACACGCGTGCCACTGACTACTGACAACCCTACGCGCACAACGCCCGCCCGGTGACATGTAGCTGACAACCCTACACACACACTGCACCCGCCTGACGATACGTAGCTGACAACCCTACGCGCACACTGCACCCGCCCGACGACATGTAGCTGACAACCCTACGCGCACACTGCACCCGCCCGGCGACATGTAGCTGACAACCCTACGCGCACACTGCACCCACCCGACGACACGTAGCTGACAACCCTACGCGCACACTGCACCCGCCCGGCGACAAGTAGCTGACAACCCTACGCGCACACTGCACCCGCCCGACGACACGTAGCTGACAACCCTACGCGCACACTGCACCCGCCCAACAACACGTAGCTGACAACCCTACGCGCACACTGCATCCGCCCGGCAACATGCAGCTGACAACCTTGCGCACACCGAATTTGCTGACCACTCACACTGTTTCCGCCCAGACACATGTAACCAAACCACAGCTATTTCTATCATCAGTCACCACACAATATACTGACAACTCTACACTCCCAATATCCCCACGAATCCACATGAATTTCAGCGGTTAGCATATGTGTGTGCTAACGGCCCTCACTTTTACAATCCCCTCCTGCCGACATGCATTCCCAATGCAATACTCTTCATTTCATTAGTCCATAAAAACCACCACTGGACATGGGCCTCTCCCGTTGCAAAAGGGATTTGTTTTTGGTCACGCTTGGCAGGAAAATTGACAAAGTGCCAGACATTAAAACATTATGTCTAAGATAACAGAATTCGCAGGTTCTCTCAGATTAAACTTAGTAAATAAGTTAAAAAACCATATACCAAAAGATAAATTACCACCTTCTCCTGCTGCATTTGCATTTTGAGCTGCAAGGTCTTCTTCTTGTCTTTGCACCGTTTGTTTTGAAACCAAACCCTGATAACTCTTGGACTGAGGCCCGTCATCTCCACGAGCTGCTCCTTCATCAGCGCGTCCGGGCGGGGGTTGGCCGCGTAGCAGGTCCTTGAAAATGTTTATTTTAATTTTTTTTTGGTAATGGACTTGTACTGTTGTAGTTTTGCCAGTGGCAAAGAATATTAAGAAATCATCCTTTGTAATCATTAGTTTCAAAACTTCTTTACAATAAATATTGATGCGTCACATTGTGAAGTTTTTGAGTTGAGTTACACTAAATATATGGGGTATGTATGATAGTTTAGTGTAATTAGACAGATTCCACGTGGCCACATTGAGGCCCGACCTACGTCTGCTCGGGAAGTCTTCAGCTCATGGGCCCCTGAGGATTTGACCCTTTAAGGGAGCAGCCGTAGGCCGTAACAGAAGGCTAATAACTTTCTGCTCACCAGATATCGCTAGTTGACACTGAGGTAAAGTTTTCTGTCACACAATGTCATTTAATTGAGAAGTTAGTTTTTAATAAACGTTTATCAGTATTTTTTACTTTTTACTAGAGTATCATTAATATGATACACTAGTAAAAAGTAAAAAATAAAAAAGTAAAAAGTACACAAAACAATGCCTCAGTGGTTTGCTCTTTAATTTTTTGCACATTTAAACTTATTTTTTTAATTTTTCTATTTTTGTATTTAATCTAATTAATTTATATAAAATATAACTAATAAATAGTACAGAAAGAAATGTTAACCTTTACATTTTCCAAACAAATTAACTTCCCCGCTACGAAATCTGTCAAATATTATACCTCACTTTTAAGTGGCGCCGTCCTGGTGGCAGAAAAAGTCGTGGATTTACATATACAATAAAATATACATTAAATACTTTCCTTACCTGAGTGTGTGAAGTTGCTTTTCATTGAGTACGGTGCGTACTCTCGTCGGCTTTCCATCCGCGGCGTTGTTAGTACGGGCGCGGCCGCTTTTGTGGGATCCCGACTCACTGCCCGAATCTGAAAGCACCATTTACTGTAATATAATTATGATTTTATATTATTAATAACTATGCCTACTACAGCTTATTATGACTGAAATTATTATGGTTTTTTTTGTAGAATGAGGGTGACAAACAGTGAGCACACAGTTCACCTGATGATAAGTGAATGCTGTGGCCTATACACATATACAACTATCCTAAATAAAGAATCAAAATTTAGATGTGTTGTCACCCATGAGAACTAAGAAGCAATGGCTTGTTTCCAGTAAAAAGTGTATCTAGTTCTCTACACTCACAGTAGGCAGTAAGCTGCTATTTCACGCTGGTATTCTGAGAGAGCGTGGTGCTTCCCCGGTCGAACCGACCCATTCGTGCTACAACCATAATATTGCTGCAGCGTGGCTTTATCTTGAAAGATATCGTTATAAAAAAAAAAAAACGAGAATTACGTCGTAATTTGTTACTAAAATAGGTAGGTACATCGTTTTTTTAGTCCCACGAACCAGTTACCTTATAAAGTTATTGTTTCTTCTGGTAAGATTGGTACCACCGTTTAAAGTTTTCTGCTTTTTAATGCTGACCAAATGTAATCTTACTAACCAGCACTAGAGCAGTGCATCGAGATTACTCCATAATCATCTCAGAAGTGAGGGTAGACCTGAACTTAGCGGCTGTATCATAATAACAATGTCCTAGCTACCAACTATGCAGGGCAGGATTATAGTGCACGAGTGCGTGCGCAGAGTCACATGAATGCCACGAGAAAGACCACAAATATATTGTGACCACCTTCATCTAATGAGTCTTTGTGTTATCTTTACATATAAATAAAATTGAAGTGTCTGGCTGAAATAATTGGCTTGTATTAAGCTGTGTGATGAAACTTTATGAACAGATAGAGAGTAGTGTTAGGACGGGTCTAGAATGTAATAATCATCTGAAATCATCGATATAATGTACTACATTATATCGATGTTTTCAAATCAAAATGCGTTGTCACCTGTGAGGACTAACATAGAAAGCCTCATTTCCAGTAGAACTACTGCAGCATGGCTCTACCACGTATAAATTATGATATGATATATTAATGTTAAGTTTTCTACTGACTTCAAAAAGGAGACGGTACCCAATTCGACGCTATGTTTTTTTTTCTTTTTTTATGTGTTACTTCATAATATTTTTCTGGGTGAACCAATTTCGCTAGTGTTTAATAATTTTTCTTAGAAGATTAACTATGTTCTATTCAAAGTTCATTCAGTTTTATGAAGTAGAATTAAGGACGTAGAATTAATCTAAAATAGCAAAAAGTCTCTTGGTGCATTTATTTGTAAATAATACCCAAAATCCTCATGTTTCTAACTATCCTATTTAAAATTCAATAAATATTTTAAATTTACTAGGCAAACATTAGTAATAAAGACATTGTAATAATGTAAATTGACTGACCCTTGCAACGTAGGGTCAGTTCGTAATAATTAGGGATTAACACAGCGCGCATCTAATCCCAATAATCCCTACTTCACACCTCCCGTAATCCTTCAATGGACATTTGGTTATCACGGAACCCTTCTGTAGATGATGACAAGTTAATATTGTTCATTGTTAAAGCCAACGTAATTTGCTTCTCGTTATAGAAATTAAAGCCGCATTAACTCCCAAAAGAGTAAATATGTAATATGTAACCAAAGTTCTTTGTCCGTTAGATACGTAAGCGTAATTGGTTTTTTTAACTGGCTTTACGGCTCTGGGTTCTAGCCCTTCTGAGCCTGTAAGCGTAATTGGTAATTGTAAAAAACCTTAGAGTATATAATTACAGTAGTACTACTACTGTAAATAGAGTATATAATTACATTAGTAGTACTACTGTAATTATATACTCTAAGTATAAAATATAATAATTTCAATAGAGAAGATGGCTGGGTAGAATATATTACAGTCTTTCACAAGTTCACTGCTGAACATCGGCCTGCCACAAGGAGTGCCACAAAGCACGGTCCTGAGCCACCTGCATCCATCGACTTCCTGCATGTCTTACCAGGTCGTCACTCCATCTAGCGGGGGAACGCCCAACACTTCGCCTACTGGTACGAGGCTGCCATTCGAGAACCTTTTTTCCCCATCGGTTGTCGGTTTTTCGAGCTATATGGCCAGCCCATTGCTACTTCAGCTTACTAATCTATAATACTAGCTGATACCCGCGACTTCGTCCGCGTTTCTTATACACATCACTGAACACGTAATGCTTATAAAAGTAGTTGTTTCTTAAAACTTTAATAACTTTATATTTAACGAAGATATCGCAATATTTTTTTGATAAGGGCCAAGTGTGTAAGAAATTTTTTTTTCATCAGGTGGACTGTGTGCTCGTTTGTCACCCTTATCCTATAAAAAAAAAATCTTAGAAAACCTAATTGAAATCGATCCAGTAGTTTTTCCATGATGCGCTGACAACTGAAAAGCTCTATTATTTTATTTATATAGATAGATTATAAGCAATTCTTATTGGTTCTATTTTTAAAGATATATATATTCTGGCTAGGCGCCAGACTCCTCTCAGCTCCTCTCAAGCCTCTGAGGGTTATGTAGTGTCTAGTCTAGTGTTCTTAATGGTCTAGTCCCGTAAATTGATAAGTAAGATAAAATTTAGTACAAGTAAAAATAGAGCCGTGGTAGCCTAGATGGTTAGCGCGATTCGCAAATCGTTAATTGCAATTTGAAGTGCTGATTTACCACCTGTTCGGCTGTGAAGGAAAACATCGTGGGGAAACCTGTATGTCCTAGAAATAAGAAAAAAAAATCGAAGACACGTGACGTTCGCCAACACCCATTGGGGCAGCACGGCGGACACTTCCTAGCCCTAAAACCCTATCAGAAAAGTGAGGACGCCTGTGCCCAGCAGAGGGATGTATATAGGCTGTAACTTTAATCTACATAATATAGTTACATAACATAAAAAAATATAAAAATAAAAAGACATCCAGTATGTATTATATGTGGGTGTAAAGTATGTAAAAGAAAGAGAAAAATTAAATTAAATATTTTCTAGAGAATGTGAAGTACGTGGAATGACAATAACTCGATTTTATAGATATATTATGTTGACCCTTCCGAAGTATCGCAAAAAGTTAAACGATTAGATTTCTCACCGATAAAGTCCGCTACAAGATAAAGTGACGTATGAAATTGTGTTATATTAATCGAGAAACACAATCAAATCTTGTCACAAATTAGTTTCGTAGTATTAATTGTAAAAGAGAAATAACGTAACGGCCAATATTCGTCCCATTTAAAAAAAATATATTATAATTTTAAGTTTAAGTTTGTACGTGGTAAGGCCATGCTGCAGCTATACTAGTAGTATAGTTATAGCCATGAAGCAAATATTTGCTTCATGGTTGTAGCACAAATGGGTCGGCTCAACATGGGAAGGACCACGCTCTCACAGAATACCAGTGAGTGTAAAAATAATTAAATTTTGTCAAATTTAAATTATAGTATTTTTGCATTTTTACACGTGGTTGAGCCACGCTGCAGCTATATTATGGTTGTAGCACGAATGGGTCGGGCTCGACAGGATCGACAAAACAAAATAGACGGAACACTGTGTATATTCTTAGTAATGCCGAAATCAGGCTCAACTTCTTGACATACACTTACGTACCTACACGTCTTTCTTATGCCTTTATTTATCAGCCCTTATAAGTTCAATGCTGGACGCACACGTACTCACGTTGGTAAAACATGTTGGTTGTAAATGATTTTATATGCATATGTGTATGTGATTCCGTATTCTTATAATGAACTCTCGCTCCCATAAAATACCAGCGTAAATAGCAGCTTAATGCTGCTGTGTTTCGAATGGTAAGTATAGAGAACCAGAGACCTTTTTTACTGGAAACGAGGCATTCCATCTTAGTCTTCAGAGGTGACAATGCATCCGCATTTTGGTTCTTAATCGAGGATAAATGTAGATGTTTATCGGTCACAGCGTCCTCTTACCATCATAAACAAAAATATATTCGTAACGGCTTATGTTGGGTTACAGTTTTTTTGGCGCGAAATCCTGTTTCTTTTTCTAAACTAAAATACTATGTACTATGCACTAGATTTCGCATTCCGAACATTGACTATGTACAACTGAACTGTACTGCAATCCGTACACTAAACTAAATATTGCGTAAATTTAAGATTTGTGAAACCCCATAAGATAATTAGTATTACATTTTATTTAGAAATATATTTCTTTAGATTAAAATAAGAGTATTTTATATTAAACTAGCTGTTCCCCGCGACTTCGCTCACGTGTTAGGGTTTTTATGTTTTTGCGCGGAGTTACTCCTTATGACATCATCAGCTATCTAACAGTGAAAGTCCCGTCAAAATCGGTCCAGTTGTTTCGGAGATTAGCCGGAACAAACAGACAGACAGGCAAAAATTTTTTTTATAAGTACCGTTTATACTTTCATATTCAATTAGTAAAAAGCTGTTAGATTGACATTATAAACAGACACTTCAGTTTTATTTATTTGTATAGATATTCTGTCCAAAGTACCTACCATTGGCAACCCTACTTACGACACACAAAACGTCATGAGGTAAGAGAAATTCCCCCACAACACGGACAGCGTGCTTTTTAATAAGATATAATAGACATATTTTTCATCACCAACAACCAGATTAACTAGATAAAAAGTCAATCCACTTCAGTTTTCACGCGACTAATTTAAAAGCGGCGTCCGCTTTGTCGGCGCACTTCAAAGAGCGATAGCTAACGTACAGTAAGCACCACAAGTTGAGTAGTCTTAAAACGCACTTCTATTTATGTCAAATCATTGTCGGATTTGAATTGAAATATTGCTGAAAACAACGGGAGAAAAAGGTTCTCGATAGGCAAGTAGTTTATCCTTTTTTTTGTACGTGGTTTAAGCCATGCTGCTGGTTTTTTTTTATAGGATAGGGTGACAAACGAGCACACAGTCCACCTGATGGTAAGTGGTTGCTGTGACCCATAGACATCTACATCTATCCTCAATAAAGAATCAAAATGCAGATGCGTCGTCACCCGTGAGGACTAAGATGGAATGCCTCTTTTCCAGTAAAATGGGTCTCCGGTTCTCTACACTCACCATACGAAACACAGCAGTGTCAAGCTGCCATTTTACGCTGGTATTCTGTGAGAGCGTAGTCCTTCACCGGTCGAGCCGACCCGGTCGTGCTACAACTATACTACTAATATAGCTGCAGCATGGCTCTACCACGTAAAAGGTTAATAAATTATGGTGGTAACACGAATGGGGAAGGACCACGCTCTCACAGAACGCCAGCGTAAAATAGCAGCTAAATGCTGCTGTGTTTCTGTTGTTTAGAACCGGAAACCCTTTTTAATGGAAATGGGGCCATCCAGCTTAGTCCTCAGGAGAGGATAGATGTAAATGTCTATGGGCCACAGCATTCACACACCGTTTGAACCATAACAACCATACCAACTGAACACAATATTATCCCACTCCCCCAAGATTATAGATTTTAGTGCTCCAGCTATATTAGTAGCATAGTTGTAGCACGAATGGAACGCTCTCACAGAATACCAGTGTAAAATAGCAGCTTGATACTGCTGTGTTTCGTATGGTGTGTGTAGAGGACCGGAGAACCTTTTTACTGGAAACGACGCATTCAATTCTAGACTTAGGGGTGACAACGCATCTGCATTTTTATTCTTAATCGAGAATAAATGTAGATGTCTATGGGCCACAGCATTCACATACCATCAGGTGGACTGTGTGCTTGCATGTCACACTTATTCTGTATATAAATAATTTTCTTCACGCATGCAGAGGCAGCAAGATGCTAGATTCCTAGTCATCCGCCTAGTGTACCTGTAATCAGTGCCCAATCGGGAATCGATGTGTATTGTGTACCGCCACTCGAAATCTGGTCGATAAGATACGTTGCCCAATTATGAGTGTCGTACGATAACCGCTTGGCGGTTTTTTGCATTAGATTTTGACAAGACGTTTGGTCGAAATATTTTCATTTTTGCCTGATTCATTATATCATTCATAATCATTATCATCATCATCACTATCATCACTTGGAATATGTGTTGTAATGGAGCGTTACCTAGTGTAATTGTTATTAAGAGTAGTGATAGCGCACGCAATTTTGCACGTGGTAGAGCCATGCTGCAGCTATATTAGTAGTAAGTTGCAGCACGACCGGGGAAGGACCGCGCTCTCACAATACCAGCGTAAAATGGCAGCTTAACACTGCCGTGTTTCGTATGGTGAGTGCAGAGAACCGGAGACCCTTTTCACTGGAAAAGAGGCATTCCATCTTAGTCCTCACGGGTGACAACTGACAATGCATCTGCATTTTGAGTCTTTATTGAGGATAGATGTAGATGTCTATGGGTCACAGCAACCACTTACCATCGGGTGGACTGTGTGCTCGTTTGTCACCCTATCCTATAAAAATAAAATTGTGCACCACAGACTATAATACACACAATTAGATTTTTCTTTTTGGTTACTCGTACTTTATAGACGACGCAAATGTAACTTTTTCTATTTTCTACCGACTTCAAAAAGGTACTCAATTCGACTGTATGATCTTTTTTTACGTGTGTTACCTCATATCTTTTTTCTGCTTGAACCGATTTCGATGATTCTTTTTTTTATTTGAATGCTGGTGCTTCTCATGTGGTCCCATATTGACCAATGTCTGACCAATAGTTTTTGAGTTATTCTTTATAATTTATACATGACCTCGGTTGTATATAATTTTGAATTTCTAATTATCATGCATTCTTTCTTTACAGCTCAATCTAATAGGAAAGTTGGCACGCATGGGTTGGGTTGACAGTGAATTCACCTGATAATGGGAATTATGCAGTATTGTTAACTGTCTTAAATAATTATAACTTTTAACAAAAAAGTAAAAACCGGCTTCAAATTGCTAAAAAAGAAGTTATTAATTGCTACCCTTAGGGGTGGTTTTTTATTCTAAAGTTACATGGGGTCACCCTTGAAGTATAGCCTATTTAATAAAAAAAGAATCATTAAAAGTGGTTCACAATCTGCGAAGATATCGCGTAACATACATACAAAAACAACATATTCTCGAATTGAGAACGTCCTCCTTTTTGAAGTTGGATAAAAAGGTTTGTCACCTGATTCGTGGAATCAAGTTACATAATTGAATTGTAATAAGTCTCTTAGATAAAAATTTAAAAGAATAAATATATTAACATTGGCCATTGGCTTGGCGAAAATTTAATATATGTTCACAAAAACGAAGATAGTTTTAGTAAAAAGAAAGTGATATACACTCTGTAAACACTAGAAACAAACACAAGCTAGTGATACTAGTTTCTCCACTCCACAGAGTCAGTAATTCATTATTGGGGCAATGTATACGCTATTAAGGCAAAGTCTCAGAAAATATACAAGGTCTCTCTATTACCTAATTTAAATATTTAATTTAACAAAAACTGTATAAAAAGGGTTATTATAATATAAATTAATACATGGTTGATAATAATCTATTGGAATGAGGTGGTCGCTTCCAAGCTGTTTCTAAAATAAATTCTGTAAATAATTTGTAATCATTTATATTGTAAAATTTATTTAAAAAAAAGTCCCGCTGGGTTTCTTGCTGGTTCTTCCCAGGACAGAGGTTTTTTTTGTCAAACCAGTGGTAATGTAAAAAAATGACTTTCAATAAGAATTACTTGTGATGAATATTTAAAAACAATTATTCTATTCTATTCTATTCTAAGACAAACATCTAAATCTAGAACAGTTACTTGTTGGCCACACAACTAACTACTTGTTCCGTGCGGGAATCGAACTCGGGACCCTTTTATTGGATAGGATTATCTTACGTAGATATCCACATTTTTAAAATATTGAATTATCGCATACCTATTGTAAATACTTACCAGACATGGATCCAAGCTCGTGGGGATGGTGTGAGTTGTTATTGCTTAATGTGGTGTTGTTGTTACTCTCCGCGTTCGTGCCACTGCTGGTACTCGTGTTTGCACTCTGAGGAACACAGTTTATGTGTAAACTATATATTTAATCATATATTACATAAACACACAAACAACATTATTAATATAAAGGAAGCGAAGTTTTTATTTATATAGGACAGGGTGACAAACGAACACACAGTCCACCTGATGGTAAGTGGTTGCTGTGATCCATTGACATCTATCCTCAATAAAGAATCATAATACATTGCCACCCGTGAAGACTAAAATGGAATGCCTTTTTCCTAGTAAAAAGGGTCTCCGATTCTCTACACTCACCATACGAAACACAGTAATGTTAAGCTGCTATTTTACGCTGGTATTCTGCGAGAGCGTAGTCCTTCCCCGGTCGAGCCGATCCATTCGTGCTACAACAGTACTACTAATATAGCTGCAGCATGGCTCTACCACGTATAAGTAAGGGAAATTATGCTAGTTATTCCCTAAAAGTCAGAGGTCACCTAGAAAGTGACAGGACACGTTTAGAGAATAAATAATGATACTTCATTTATCCGACTATTACGGATTCACCATCATCATCATTACAGCCCATCACCAGTTCACTGCTGAATATAAGCCTCCTCATAAGAACACTTAGGCGGCGACAACTAGGTGCAGTCGATTGCGGCTGATTACACTTAGGTATATAGAACATAGATTTTTCTTTTTGTCAAAAGTGGAATGTGATCACTTCCAGCATTAGCCATTATTGGTAACGGGAGTGTAGTTGCATTGTAAGGATATTCACTACCCTAAATTACCTAAATATTAACTAAAAGGGTGTCGTAAAATGCGACAGAGGGAGACTGATATAGGAGATGGGTAGCATAATAGCCATGCTGCAGCTATATTATTAGTATATTTGTAGCACGAATGGGTCGGCTCGACCGGGTAAGGCCACGCTCTCACAAAATACCAGCGTAAAATAGCAACTTAACACTGCTGTGTTTCGTATGAGTGTAGAGAACAAGCGACTCTTTTGACTGGAAACGAGGCATTCCATCTTAGTCTTAAGGGGTGACAACGCGTCTGCATTTTGATTCTTTATTGAGGATAGATGTAGATGTCTATGGGTCACAGCTACCACTTACCATCAGGTGGACTGTGTGCTCGATGGTCACTCTATCCTATATTATTTTTATCCTGATAACAACTCTAAATAATAAAAATGGTTTGGCCATGGAAGAAAAAGGGGAGATCTTCCGCCGGGCAAGGTGTTAAGCCCGGTGAGTGGCCAAACTCTGTGTAGTCTAGTTTCTGTGATGTCAATGCTGTTAGCCTATGCGGCTCTTACAGCTTCACCGAACTCAAAGCTCGAGGCCTGAAAGGCCGCGAACTATAAAGATTGGGGGGGGGGGGGGGAGGTTATTTATTTTAGTAAAATCGATAATCTTGGGGGAGTGGGATAATATTGTGTTCAGTTTAGTGATCACATTAACATAACATGAATGAGCTATCTAACGGCCGTCCGAACAGGGGGTGACGGGCCCCGGCTCTAACGGGTGTCACGTATCGTTCGATGTTCTGGGCGCTGAGAACCGCCCAGGGACGCGGGTGTACGGTGTGTACGCGGTGTGGAGGGTTGTGCGGCGCGCCCGTCTGCGGACTCGCTGCGTCCCATCCGTTGTTTTCCTATCAATGTTTGTGGCACTAGGTGATTGTACACAACACTACAGTCTTGGAGTGTGACTGGCCGGCAACATTTTGGTTGTCGGAATCTAGTGGAAGGGGGGGGGGGGGGTTCGATTAGAACATTGCGGGGCCTCCGGAGGGTTAGCGTAACGTTCGGAGTCGGAGCTTAGATGGCTGCGGTTACAATTAGTGGGTTGGAATGTGTCTCGGCCCTCTCGAAATTGCGCCGAGACATATCCTTAAAATATTCAGAGATCATCGGAAGTTGATAGACTCTGTTTAAGTCGGAGTTTCGCTGTTACCACCGAGCACCGGCGGCTATGCGAATGAATCTATTCTAGACGAATTGGAGGTTGAACAAATGACTATAGCTTGCGTGCGCGAAAACTACGCTTGCGTAAGACATGATGGGTCTTACGCATGCTTTATAAAGATGAGCTTGTTTCTTAAGAACAGTTTGCTCTTGCTGTTAACTAGCGGGTGGAGGCGACTAGTGACGAATTTTGTACGGTTTTGGACATCACGAATGTGCTTTGCGAATTTTATACCATGGTTGAATGTAACCCCTAGGTATTTGGGCGTTGGTTGCCAGGGGATCTGGCGGCCGTACAGGCTGATCGTACCTAACTATTTCTTGGGGTTTCTGATTTGGCGATTGAAAGTGAAGATCCTTTGGAAGCGTATTGCTACACTTTTCTCAGCATGCACTTTGATTCTTCTTAAACGGAACCAATCGCCTAGGTGGTTGACAGCTGTTTGGAGCATCTTCGTGAGGTATTTTTTATTGGAATGAGCGACGAAAAGTGCCGTGTCACTCGTGAAGAGTGTGAAGAGTAGTGGGGAGAGGACGGAGCCTTGTGGAACTCCAGCCTTGAGGGGATGCTTTGTAGAGCGAAAACACTATTCGATAGCGAAAGTGGCGATTGGCAAGAAAGGCTTTGATGATGTGGATGAGCCTATCAGGCACGTTAAGTTTATACAGCTTTTAAAGCAAGCCATCGTGCTAGACTTTGTCAAACGCTTTTGCGATATCTAGGAAAAGGGCATCAGTTATGGTGGTTTTGAGATTATTTTGTGGGTGTTTAAATCCTTTCTGAATGTATTCTGTGAGGCGATGTAACTGGTCGGTGCACGAGTGTTCGGATCTAAAGCCGAACTGCTCCTCTGGAAAAAGTTTGTTGGTGAAGACGTATTTACGAATGTGATTCAATAAGAGTCGCTCGTAAACTTTCCCCAGTGTGCTGAGGAGACTAACTGGTCTGTAACTAGAGGATAAGTTGCGCGGTTTGCACGGTTTCGGGATTCATTAATGGGTGATTAGGTAATGGGGGATTCGATATTTTGGGAATAGGGCATATGAAAGCCTTTTTCCAGAGATTTGGGTAGTGACCTGAGTCCAGCGAAAAGTTAATAATGAGAGTAAGTGCAGGTAGTACATACTCCAGTATATTGATTATCATAGTTCTACTGATTTCATCACAACCCACAGCCTTGGATTTGATTGCCAGAGCAATTTTTTTCCTTTTGTCATCCTGGTGAACTGGAGGAAATTGAAAAGAAGGAATTTGAGGAGATTGGATAGAAGTTAAATAGGCTATCGTTTGAGATCGTACAGTAGTGCAAAGTGGAGATTAATGTCATCACAATGCATATTATTTGTACGTAGCTTTATGAATACAACTTTAGGCAATGCACTTAAGGTTGAATTTACATTAAGGTGTATTTATTTCAACTAGAATTACGTCAAAACAATTGGCGACAGTTTTCAGAGATCTTTGGCATGGGATTGCGTATCTAGTTTTTCATTAGTGATCGATGGCTATAATGGATGGATGGATAGTTAACGTGAGTGTTGATAGTGGTAGAGGCATCGTCAATTTTTTTTATTAAAAAATATCTTATCGTAAGTATATTACTTATAAGACAGTGTAAGTTTTTACAAAGTAATGGGACTCTTTTTGTGCCTAGGTATCCGTCTGAATTGGTACCACACTTTTACCTATTTCTGCCTCCAAATAACAGTAGTAACTTACACTACTGTGTTCCAGTTTGAACATTATAATTACAGTAGTATAATTACACGGTGTGATTCATATATATCTTTCTATGTTTGAAGTTACTACAGTAGCCAATTACCTAGGTAGGACAAATGACTTTACAGTCTACCTGACTGTAAAGTCATTTGTCACTTCGGTTTTATAAAAAAAAAAAATTGGTAGCATTTTATTTGAACGATTCACGCTTAGCGGAAGATGAATGAGATCGATTCTCGTCTGCCAACTAAGCATGCTACGCACCTCACGGCATATTTTACTTTAACACTAACTAATCGTTATATAAAGTGTGATTAGTTAGTGTTACTTTAACACTAACTAGGTAATCACACTTTAATATTTTCTAACAACATACATATCTAGCAATGTTAAAGAAAAAATTGAAAATGAACGCGATAAAAAACCTTTTCTAATACATCGTGGTCTTCTCTACAGTATAAAGCACCTCCTTCTCTTAACGCGAACTCGTCTCCTGTAAGAAAAAAGATTTATATTAACGATTCTACATTGTTTAATCGATTTACAAATATGGTTTAACCAAAGAAGTCATAGCAGATGACATTTTATAGAAATGACTGTAAATATGCGAAAAATTTAAGTGCTAGAATAAATTCCCGTGGTAGGGGTTAGCAAGCGCAAATAAAGTACTATGTTCTCGGCGGTGAAGGAAAACATCGTTAGGAAACCTGCATATCTGAGCAATCAAAAAGATATGTAATTCGAAGACATCTGAAGTCCGCCATCATTCACGGGGGCATCGCGACGAACATTTCCTAAAACCCTCTCAGAACTGAGAGGAGATCAGTGCCAAGGAGTAGGACGTATATAAGCTATAACTTAACATAATTATATGAGGTAGATAATTTTTGGTTTTTAGCTGCACCTTTCTATGACAAAAAATAATTGTTCCGGGTCCGAATGGTTGTCATTTCGCAATTTATGTACGAAAACTGCCTACACAATGTAGAAGAAAACCCTAGCGTACGGCATTACCCTATTACGTATTAAAAAAAAGAAGAATTTTTTTAGTTGTCCGGTGGATATATTAATTGTTTAGACGTGGATTCATCTCAATTAGTACCTATATTAATATAGTAAATGACGCAAATCTATACAAATAAATAAAATTGAAGTGTCTGTTTGTAATGTCAAAATTACGGCTTTTTACTAAATGCATATGAAAGTATATACGATACTTATAACAAAAACACAATTTTTAAAATTTTTGTCTGTCTGTCGGTCTGTCTGTCTGTCTGTCTGTTTGTTCCGGCTAATCTTTGAAACGGCTAGGCCGATTTTGATGGGACTTTCATTGGTAGATAGCTGATGTCATAAGAAGTAACTTAGGCTACTTTTATTTTAGAAAAAGAATTAGGGTTCCGCGCATAAAAACTAAAACCCCAAATAACACGCGGGCGAAGCCGCGAGGATCAGCTAGTTATGAATATAATTGACGTTACCGTGACAGTCTTATTTAAGTCCAGTGCTGAACAAAGGGCTCCCCCATATATTGCCTCATAGAGGGGATATTTGTAATAGTTGCCATGCTTGGCATGCGGGTTGGCAACCGCAGTTTTTTATTTTTAGTCGTTATTAGTAAGACGCTGCTGCCCATCTTCTGATTTGTTTCCCTCTGTTGCCTCTCACCCATGGGATGATATGGGGTGGTGGATATTCTTACACCCTCAATACACGGCAAATATAATTCGTTTCGTGATTAATTTTTTTACGTTGAAAACTATTAGAATAGTTTTTTTTTCCTGAGTATGAAATAATTATTATGAAGAAACGGCTCCGTGGCGCAGTAGCTTAGCAAAGAGTTGCTGCGCTAAGGGTTCGGATGCCGCACGGAACAAGTATTTGTATGGCCTACAAATAATTGTTCCGGGTCTGGATGTTTGTCCTTGTGAAATTTATGTATGTAAACTGCCCCCACGATAGAGGAGAAAATCCTACTGTGGAGGGTAACGTTTTTTTTTTAAAAAAAAGAAATTACTTCTTTTTATAAAAAATCGTGAGCGGGAGCCGTGGTAGCTCAGATGGTTTGCGCTCACGGTAATTTTCACAGTACGCGAGCAACCCGGGTTCAATCCCTGCCGGCACCAATGAAATTGTTAATTGCAATTTTAAGTGCTGATCACGTGCTCGGCGATGAAGGAAAACATCGTGAGGAGACCTGCATGTCTGAGAAATAAGAAAAAAACAGTATTTCGAAGACATGTGAAGTTCGTCAACACGCATTGGGGCATAGTGAGAAGTGAAGGGCAGAGTGAATAAGAAAAGAGTGAGAACGCTTATTTATGCTACAGAAGTGAGTCGCGGGGTCGGCAAGGCGCTCTATAGTCTATACGGTACTTTTCGATCAAATTGGCGATATATTGAATTTGGGCCAAATTAACCGACGTGGGTTGAGAAAGAAGAGGGAGAGGTGTGTCAGGATCACGCTTAATGAAAGTTCGTGGTCTCTACCTATCCTTCTGGGTGACAGGTGGTTTTATAAGTGGCAGAGCCATGTTGCAGCTATATTAATTATGATTGTTTTTATAGTACATTGGGACAAACGAGCATATAGCCCACCTGATGGTAAGTGGATGCTGTGGCCCATAGACATTTACATTTATCCTCAATTAAGAATCCAAATGCAGATGCGTCGTCACCCCTGAGTACTAAGATGGAATGCCTCGTGTCCAGTAAAAAGGGTCTTCGGTTCTCTACACTCATCATACGAAACAAAGCAGCGTTAAGCTGCTATTTTACGCTGGTATTCTGTGAGAGCGTGGTCCTACCCCGGTCGAGCCGACCCATTCGTGCTACAACTACAATATAGCTGCAGCGTGACTCTACCACGTATATAAAAGTATAAGCGATTGTAGTATGAATGGGTCGGTTCTATGGGGAAGGACCACGTTTTCAGAGAATATCAGCTTGATATAGCAGGTTAATGCTGCTGTGTTTCGTATGATGAGTGTAGAGAAACGGAGACCCATTTTACTGGAAACGAGGCATTCTATCTTAGTCGTCACGGCTGACAACGCATCTGCATTTTAATTCGCAAGCGAAGATAGATGTAGATGTCTATGGGCCACAGCATCCACTAATGATCAGGTGGGCTGTGTGATTGTTTCTCAGCCTTATTCTATAAAAAATATAAAACGCAGTTCCTCACCAGGGATAAGTTGTCTCGCGCACGCACAGCATCTGAAGCAGTCGATGTGGTATATCTTAGTTTTCGCGCGCATCACAAAGTCGTTCTTACTGAAGGAAGCCCCGCATTTGTCGCATTTTGTACCAAATAATCTGTCAACAAAGAAAAAAAAATGATGGAATTTGAGGACAAGTGCAAATCTATACCTATCCTAAAATAAACTAACATTTTAGAAAGTATTTTTTATTCCTTATTTTCAGCTGAGTGCCTCGGGTTCGAATCCCGCACGGAACAAGTATTTTGTATGGCCTACAAGTAATTGTTCCGGTTCTGGATGTTTGTCCTTGTGCAATTTGTGTATGTAAACTGCCAACTGTCAAAATTGTTTTTATTATTATTATTATTTCTTAAAAAACATTACCTCCACACTAGGATTTTCTCCTGTATCGTGGGGGCAGTTTACACATATAATTATACGTGGTAGAGCCACGCTGCATATTTGTTATGGTTGCAGCACGAATAGGTCGGCTCTACCAGGGTAGGACCACATTCTCACTGAATACCAGCGTAAAATAGCTGTTTCTTTAATGCTGCTGTGTATCGTATGGTTAATGTAGAGAACGGGAAACCCTTTCTACAGGAAACGAGGCATTCCATCTCAGTCCTCACGGGTGACAACGCATCTGCATTTTGATTCGCAAACGAGGATAGATGTAGATGTCTATGGGCCACAGCAACCACTTACCATCAGGTGGACTGTGTGCTCGTTTGTCACCCTATCCTATAAAAAAATTATTATTATTATATTTATTGTTTTGTTGTGTGCAATCTATTGGGTTATTGATTAGTTATAATATTTGTTACTTTAACTGTGTTATATATATATATCAATCTGTTTGCGTTCCTTATTAATGAAATAAAAAATTCTAAATAATAAAACCCTGCGGTCACCAACCCTACTATACTAACTATGGCAAAAACTTAGGGCCTATGGCCAATATCTTCTAGGAAGGCCTATGTTCAGCAGTTGACTTTTGAAATCTTAAAAAATCAAATCATAGCCTATCAAAAACTGATATCTTCTTTTTATAGAATAAGGTTGACAAATGAGTACACAGTCCACCTGATGGTAAATGAATGATGTGGCTTATAAACATCTACATCTATCCTCAATAAAGAAACAAAATGCAGATGCGTTGTCACCCGTGAGAACTGAGATGGAATGCCTCGTTTCTAGTAAAAAGGGTCTCCAGTTCTCTACACTCAGCATACGAAACAGCAGCATTAAGCTGCTATTTTACGCTGGTATTGTGTGAGAGCGTGGTCACACCCCGGTCGAGCTGACTCATTCGTGCTACAACCATAATATAGCCGCAGCTTGGCTCTACTACGTACAAAAATAAATGAAAAAATGATTTACATTTGTATATATTAAAAAATATAATGCGCTATTTGCTTAATAAGTACGAGTACCTACACTTCAACCAGCACAAAATCAACAATACAGGCTTTACTTTTGAAGTTTTTTTTATTCAATGGAGTCTATATCATGCCAAATATAATATTTGAAACACAAATCGCTTCAGTTCAAAATATTTTTTTTCCCGTTTATTTTCAGGTGTATAGCATCCCTCCATTACTCGAGCTACCTACCCTTTGTATAGGCGATGCTTTTAGCGGTATTGCCGGGGGTGGTTTTCATCCCGTTAAGTGCCGGTCAATAACCTCCCTGGGGGTTGTTTCAAAATGTACTTAGAGGTTTCTTCTCACTGTTTTTCCCTGTGCCGATGCGTCTAGAGGATGCCGTTTTTATTTTGAAATCGACGTTAGAAATAAATATGTATTGTAATCTCCAATATAAGGGAGGCTATATAATAGAAAAGAGTAATTTTTATTAAATATAACTTACAAGTATACTTATTTGAGGCGCTTAAGCTTTTCGAACCAGTCGAAAGAAAACTTTTGTACTGGGAAGAACCAACAAGAAACCAGCGGATTTTCTTTTAAAACATTAATTTACATTAAATAAAACTTTGTAGAAGCTTGCGAAGTCACTTATTGATTTCACGATGTCTGTTCGTCTGTCCGTCTGTGCCACGATTATCTCGAGAACGGTTTTGAATTTTCAAATTCTGTTTTCAACAATCGATTACTGATCACCCAGGCATCTGAACCTCCTATTTTGAAACTGATTGCTCAACGGCAACCGTTAGAAACCGCTACAAAGCTGATTGCTTCGCCACTTTGCTATGCTGTTAGCTTGCTAGGTTTATTTTTATTAAAAACGTGCGATAAAATCCGTAAAATTAGTTCGCGTAAATATAAAAAATCAATGCATTAATTTACAATTTAATATTTTATAAATTAAGTATGAAAACATTTAGAAACGGGTAGCGATCCCCGCTTTCCCAGGGGTTATTATCCATCATGTACTCTTTAGCAGTATAATAACTCTTTTGAAACAATTTTTGCTTAGTAAAAATTTTAAGCATTTTCATAGTTTTAGTAGAGCCACGCTGCAGCTATATTATGGTTGTAGCACGAATGGGTCGGATCGACTGGGGAAGGACCAAACTCTCACAGAATACCGGCGTAAAATAGTACCTTAATGCTGCGTTGTTTCGTATTGTGGGTGTAGAGAACCGGAAACCCTTTTTACTGGAAACAAGACATTCCAGCTTAGTCTTCTCCTTGGCGGCTCCGTGGCGCAGTTGCTTAGCAATGAGTTACAACGCTAAGGGTCGCGGGTTCGAATCCCGCACGGAACAAGTATTTGTATGGCCTACAAATAATTGTTCCGGGTCTGGATGTTTGTCCTTATGAAATTTATGTTTTGTAAACTGCCCCCACGATACAGGAGAAAATTCTAGTGTTGAGGTAATGTTTTTTTTAAATAAAAAAGATTAAATTAAAACAAAAAGAAAAAAGTCTTCAAGGGTGATAACGTATTCCACATTTTCATTCTTAATCGAGGATAGATGTAGATGTTTATGGGCCACATCATCCACTTACCATCAGGTGGACTGTGTTCTCGTTTGTCACCCTTATTCTATAAAGAATCGTTGAGTATGGTTGCGGCTTGGTTTTTGCGTCACTTGAAATGAACGAAAACGGCGTTCCGTTTTTATTTTTTTGTTGGTTTAGGATTGAAAATGATAAATGAAGTAGTAAGTGAATGGGTCGAGCTTTTAGCATTAGACATTGCTTTCATACGTAGGGCTTAATTCAGAACTACGAATGTCTAGCGCTGTCAATGAGGACCAATAATCTTCCACTCACCAGATGTCGCTAGTTGTGACTGGGGTAAAGTTTTTGTTACACAATATCAGTTAATTGAGAAATTAGTTTTAAATAATAGTTTATCATTATCTAGAGTATTATATTAATACACAACACAGTGCGTCAGTGGTTTGATCTGTTTTTAAAAAAAATCGGCTTTTAGTTATATTTATAGTTTGGTTTATTCATTTCTAATGTAACTTATATAAAATATAACTAATAATACAGAAAGAAACCTGAAAGATTACATTTTCCTAAGAAATTATTGTCCTCGCTATGAAATCTGTCAAATATTTTGCCTCACTGTAAAGTGGCGCCGCCCTGGTGGCAGAAAAAGTCGTGGATGCCCTCATTGGATAAACCGTGTAGTGGCGGTGTAAGAATATCTACTACTCCACTGTACCATGGGTGTCGTAAGGGTCGACAGAGGGTAATTGAAACAGGAGATGGGCAGCATCCTCATTCCAAATAAGGAAAAAAAAGAATTAGCAGATGCCAACCCGCCTGCCAAGCGTGGCAGCTATAGCAAAATCACCCTTATGAGGCCATCTGTGGCGAAGACCTGTATTCAGTAGTGTACTTTTATGGGTTGTAATGGATGGACGAATATACACACATCAACTGTTGGACGAGATCCTGCTGACATCTGTGCGGCGTCATCTCGCCGTGATTGACAGCACAGCTGCAGAAACAAGCCCACACACGCGCGTGATATTTCGTTGAAATATTGGCCAGTGACTCTAACCCGTAATAATATTACACAGAATACGAAATTGGCTGGCTCCGTGGCGCAGTGGCTTAGCAATCAGTTGTTGCGCTGGGGGGCGCGGGTTCGAATCCCGCACGGAACAAGTATTTGTATGTGTTATATACAAATAAGATAAGATAAGATAAGTGTATATGCTATGGACCAAGTGATTAATAGGGCATTATTTTTAATGTCCAGACATTGAATTGCCTAATATGAGTGGGCAATGTGATAAAAACTATTGAAATAAATTGACCGGGCTTTATGAATAAAGTCCGTTACTTATTGGGTAGAGTAATAAAAATATAGGTCACCTTAGGTTATGGCCCTAAAATGTGATTAATAATGAAATTTAAATTAGTATTACACAGCCCGATTCGACTTGTCATTATTCAGATTGCCCGGGCATTATACAGGGTTATTTTGCAATAACCGGCCAAATTTTAGAATAAGTAATATAGGCAAACGGTGAAGAAATATTAATAACAAACAATCTAAAACATTCTGTCCTTTTTATCTTTCAAATTCAAAATTATGTTAACTGATTGTCATTCATAAATATCTAACGCCTACTATTTTACTACACACGCACACATTCGTAAGGGTCGATCGGTCGGCAAAAACGTTGTGAATTGAAACGCACACAGAGGAGCGCGCGTACGCGTAAATGTTGTCCATAAATTACATTCAATTTGGGATAATTTCAACTAAATTATAAGCTTTATTTAATTGTATTTTCAAAAACTGCAATAATATCATTATTTATATATTCGAACTTAAGATTAAAATTTGACTACTCTTTGAAAAATAACCCTGTATGTGTAATAGTGTGATTAAACATTTTTAGTCTCTAACATATTATATTATATGTAATATGTATTCACCTGTTTACACATTATACACACTCTGTTTGAACTCAGTAACATCCATTTTAGCAGACTTAAAAAGAAGGAGGAGGTTTACAATTCAACTGTATGTTTTTATATATTACGCGATATCTCTGTCAATTGTAAAATGATTTTCACGATTCTATTTTCTACCTACTTCCAAAAGGAGACCGTACTCGATTCGACTGTACGTTTGTTTTATGTATGTTACCTCATAACTTTTTCTGTTTTTTTTTTT